CGATCTTACCCCGCTAGTCATGATTTCGAAACATTAAGTACAACCCTGAGAACAGAATGCCAAGCCACGATCTGGCCACGTGAATAAGTTGAAGTTACATCCTTCTAACAGGAAAAGTAACTTTCGTTATCATGGAATTATAACAAAACCTGCCAATTCAATATAAATGGAAAAAAAAATATTATATGGAATTGAACGAAAATGAAAATTTGCTTGATAATTCAACTACGCTTGTTGGAGAACAATAAAAACACTACTCTCAACAAGCTACCAATGAAACTCAACTGCCTAACCTATAAACAAAGTTTTTTTTAATTTGTTTTTTAAAAAAAAGCGCTTGACAAACTTGCCCCGCATGCCGAAGTTGCCCCGATCTCCCCTAACCTGTTTAGTAAATACCCAGGATTTTTCCTATTCTGTTAGAACACTCCGTCCAATATCGCGCTTTTTCTTTGTCTGTTGACTCGAGCGATGTAGCGAGGAGGTGCTGTATTTCCCAAATTGAAGAAATTGTTAAAGGAAATATATTAAAGTTCAGAAGGAAATATTTTTATATTTTGAGGAAATTTGTTTATTTTTTTAACTATTTTATATTTTGTCCATTTCTGAAACTATTTCAACGCAGCTCGTATCTGAAAACGAAGTTTAATTAAATTAAGATTAAATCCAAAATTTCATGAGATTTTTCAGTTGTTCAAAATTCAGTTCTGAGTTTTATTATACCAAATTGACAATATATTTGATATATTTATTATTTTTTAAAAAGTTTTAATTTTATCTGAATTGTTTATTCTGATTACAACTAATTTTAGATACTACCATGAAGAATTTGATCTCCGTTTCCTTGTATCAGTCAATTAGTAAACTACAGTCTCATTGTGTTGGAGAGAAAACTGCTGCGTTTTGTGGAATTAAGTTTCATATAATCTGCATAATAATTTTTGAGCACATTACTGTAATGGTCTCTTATGGAACAGTAGGTAAGTTTGTCTATTGCTTTTACACGTTGCAATTTTGAAACTTTGTTTAAAAATTTATTGCTGCACCTTGCAAACTATATGAGTGACTACAGTTTAAAACATGGAACTGTGAGCTGTGGTTACTTTTACCGAACCACAGCTGCTTTCTGTTGCTTAGTACAAACCAGCAAAAAATATGTTTAATACTGACATAAGAAAATTTTTATAAATCAACGAGAGTTGTGAATACAGTGTTTGTATTTCATAATATTTACAGACAGTAAGAAATGAAACACTAAAGAATACAGTAGNGTCTGGTGTCCCCCGATGTTCGCTTCGCGGTATCCTCTTGATGTTCCGCCTCACTGAGTCCGCGTGATGTTCCGCCTCGCTGTGTTTGCCCCGAGGTTCAAGTGTGACCCCTTTTTATTTCCGTCCTGAGAGGAGAAAAGTTCGGGGAACTATCTGACGCATTTCCATGTAAGTTCACCCGGGTCCCTTTCTGACAATTAGTATATACATTTCTGTAGATTTATTACTTCTTCTATCCGGTATTTTCACTCTTTCTAACTCATAAATTCGATAACAGTTCTCAAACTAACAGAATTAATTGCTGGATGTGACTAAGGTTAAGATATGTAATGCAATTTTTGTAATAATTGTTCACTTGGTGGGTCATCCGATCGGTTTTATCATCGTTAAAATCAGACGAAGTAGGAAGTGTGTGGGTTGTGTTTTTTCTCTCATGTCCGAAAGGGTTAAAAAGTCATCTCTTCAAGTGACAGAAAAGTGAAAATATAATGATATGTAAAATTTATCGAAGCTCGAAAATTCACGCTAGAGCTCCAATTCTCACATAATCCTAATTAACAAGCATAATTCATAATCGCTTAATTCCTGACAGACTTAATTTGTTGTTATTGTTATTATCTTATTGCTAAGAATACAATCATATGTTAATTTATAAAAATACCGTAAATTTCTGCGTATAAATGCAGAAAATTTAGAAAACTGAAAATAATTACTTTTTACAATCCACAAACCTGTGTGCTGTATCTTACACATCAAAGTGTCATTGAAAACATGACACACAGTGCGGTTACTATAATATTCTAATGATAATCCTACTGTAATTAAAAATAATAATAATAATAATAAATTTTAATAAGAAAATATCATAACAGATGTCGGTATAAGATAAGAATGGTAAAACAAACTCGTTATTCAGAAAAAGAAATCAGTACAAGATATATTCCTTATTCTGTATACCTGATTCCATTAAAACTAAAAACTGAAAAAAATATTAATTCAGGAATGTTTTTAGGGCAAAAACCTATAAAAATCTATAAAAGAAGAGAAAAATATAAGCATACAAACTATAAGTAAGAAACATATTATAAATCCTCCTCACTACATACTAACATGCAAAATATTTTTGTTTTGCATTTTAAAAATCGCCGTTCCCACACAATTATTTATTTTTTGTTTTTATTTCTTTTTTTAATTAAAACTATTTTTTTATATAGAAAAATTACAGAATATTCCAGAGTTGTTCAGCTACGTTTTTGTGGAAATAGCCTTTTCTGATAAAATAATGATCGAAATTTTTTTCTTTATCAGGTAAATACCTCGATATTAATATAATGTATTTTACTAAAATTAATACTACAACATTCGTTCAAATCTTCATGTAGAATTTACAGTAGTTAGGTTACATATATACGTAACAATCATAATTATATCTAGATTTATATTTAGTTATTTTTATGATAAAATTATCTAACGAAATTCTTAAACTGTTTATAAACGATTATAAACTTAATAAAATTATGACAAATTCGTTCAAATACTGAATTATTTTACTAGATTCTTACAACAATTTATACTTAGTACATTCTGAATGTTTGCCACTTTTCAGAGAAACCATTGAGTTGTGCCAATCAGTGGTGCAAACAAATGAACTATTTAAAACCAACGGTACAGTAACATGAAATAAGGTCAATTCCTCCTTTAGAAATTATTATATAATTGTATTCAGTAACATTAACCGTACTTACACATACACAGATAAAGTCTTTAAAAAGTAGAATGATTCATTTAAATTATTCTGCGAATTTTAAGCAGGCGCTGCAAATTAGAAGGCAAATTATGTCATTATTATTGACTATAAAAACAAACATGTTTAAAAAACTTGATTGTAGTAAATTAACTGATCTGATATTTGATTTAAATCGTATATATTTGATGCTACTGAAACGAAATCCCGCAGTCGCCATTGTGTCATAAATAATTTCAAAACGCAGGATTTGATAACATGTTAATTAATTATTATTATTTAGTTATACACTATTATTAAAATAATTAGAATTAAAATTAATCTGAAAGACATTTCAAAATTTTTAGTGCTTTCCTTCTGTCGTATAATAACCAGAAAAATGTAAAGTGTGCTATGGACATTTGCGTGTTAATAAAGAAGAAAACCATCAGGTTAGAGAATTTTATAATATTTATTTAAAACTTTAATAATTCTTTATATGTATTAAGAAGTTGTTTAGATATAAAAATGAATGTAAAAGTGTTCCAGATAATTTAGNTATCTACAATTAAACAATAGATAGAAATTACAAAACTTAATTTGTGAAGACATTATTGCGTACATAATGTTACCATTATTGAGAATATCTACTACAGTAGAGACTCGAAAACTCGGCCTAATGTGGACCGAAGGGCGGCCAAGTTTGTGAAAATGCCGGGTTATCGGGAATGGGGTTAAAAAAATAAGTATGAGTGTTTCCTCAGAAAATACTGTACTGTACTTGTATATATTGTTTACTTGAGAATACAACAGAGAATAAACTGCCCCAATACCCTTAAAAAAAGGAAAAGTACGTCTTTCATGAAGGCATAAAGCCTTTACTACATGAAAATGAAAATTAATGAATACACTGTGTACAGTAATTTACCTGATAAGACAGACCTCAGAAAAATACTTTATGAGGCATAAAGCTGTCTTTATCATAAAAATTAATTAACTAAAGATTTTTTTACCCTGCCAGGGTATGGCCTAGTTTTCCGGAGTGCCGGGTTATCGAGTGCCGAGTTTTTGAGGCTCTACTGTACTAGCATGGCCATTAAATACAAGAAAAGCAGAATTGACGGAATTTCTATAAAATTAACTGATATTTTTTACAGGTCGTTCTTCGCTTTCTTCTCAAGTTGGGTTGTCCTAGCAACAGTGGTCGAAACATTCATGGATTTAGGCATTATCTCCTCAAGTGGTAAAATAGGTCAGAGTAAAATCTTAAATTTATAATAATTAAATAAATTGTAAGTAAAATAATTACTTACTAATTATTCGTTCTATAACAGTATATAATTCTTTATTTTATTATAAAAAATAAAATAAAACAAACTTATACAATACGTAGAAATTACGATTTTTTAAAAAGGCTTTGTATAAGATTATTTCGTAGTTGTAAAAAAATTACATTAAATCTCTTGAATCCTTAAAATTTCTCTTCAATTATAGAAAGCTTAAAAGAGTAAACAGTAATCACATTGAACTTAAAATATAGTATAAAATGCATATTAACTGAATTATGCTTTGCTTTAAAGAAGTAGTGTAAGCAACATTGGCCAAGCTAGACTAAAACAATTACAAATGAGGTGTATTAAGAAGAAATGAAGAACCATTGTTATTGTTGTCGGTCTTTCTTCCCTGTGGAATCTAATGGCCTTGTTCTTATACTCGTCGTCAGTTCGGCTAATCTCGATAGGGATGACCCATGAGAAGACACGTCTGGAACAGACTATTTCCAAAAAGTTACTGGAGGAATTCGACCAGCCAAAATTGGATTTCGGGTTACCCATCAACACAGAGAGATGTCTTAACTTTTACATTTGATTTAATTCAATAATTTTCAGCAGAAAATGTTCGAATTCCTAAAATCTGTAGTAAAATTCTAACAATATCTTTCACTGCAAAATTTTCGCATATCAAAAATAATTTCGCTCTTCATCAAAAGCTCAGTTTAATTAAACCGTTATACATATTAAATCACGAAATAGATATCATGACCCTTCTTGCAGAAAATTTTATTTTTATAGTTCGAATGTTCGAATTTTCTGACAAACACAAATCAGGTAGTGTTTTCATAAGTGTAAGAAATTCATATGATATTTTACACACATATCAGTCTCTAGAAAGCAAAAAACACACATCTAGCAAATGAAATCATTTTACAAGTAATGACATATAATCTCGATTTCAAAAATCTTTTCTGTCTGAATAGAGTGAAAACACGTTGTAAAAAGAGCATTTCAATAAAAAAATGTTTTAAATGTAATTTAGCGAAAAAACTGTATC